AGTTGCAGTGAAATGGCATTTTTAATTATACTACAGCCATTATAAAGTCAACTTTGCATGGAATCTCCACATCTAAAAATGTAATTCTCTAAATGTAATTATTACCAAATCCAAATGAAAGGACATTTATACCAAGGTAAATCAGTTTATCTCAATTTTGGTATTTTTGTGGCCACCTAATATATATTATGTGGCTACAATGTGCAGGTGTTAACATTTGAACATTCTAAACTTCTTTGTTGGTATTGGCAGATTCATTTTTTAAAATTAAAAATTATTCAATGGAGTTAGACAATTTAGAAAAGCATTTAAAAAGAATATAGATGACTGAGCAATATGGTGTGTAACCTTCCTTTTTCAAAATAATTATTTTTTGAAAATAATTTTAAAAACTAGTTACCAGTGAGTTAGAGGTAAGACAACCTTCCTTGTTCTGACTGTGGTCAGGCTTTTCTAAGGCCTCTAGACCTGCACCTTTGTGTCAGACACTGTAATGCCTACATTTCTTAATTTTAGCAAAAAAATTTGCTATATTAGTTTAGGGAGAATCTCCCATCCTTGGTATATGATCCCCTAAGTATCCGATCAAGTTCTGCAACCCCACATTTCCCCACCTGATATCTGATCACCCTGATTTGAGTTCAGCGAGGATCATGTTAGGTCTTTATACCCAGCATCTCCCCCAATGCTTAGTATTTCTTTTTAGTAATTTTCCATCCACTGACCCCACATCCTGCCTGGCTATAAGTCCTCACTTGCCCAGGCTATTTTGGGAATGGAGCCCGGTTTTATACTGAGATCTCTTTTCCTCCACTACAATAGTTTGTGAATAAAATCCTTTTTTTTTTTTTTTTTTTTTTTTTACTGTCCAACTGTAGTTTTCTTTAACAGCTAGCAACCATAAATACAGAAATCCTTTTAGCAATAAAAAAAGATAATTAAAATGCCAAGTGGGTAATATAAAAATAAGTGCTAATTAGGTGAATTAGAGCTAATTTATTTAGATACAGAAGAATAGTTTTTCAGGACACAGAGTACAACATCAATATAAATGTGGAGATAAAATAGAAATAATATATTCAGATGAACGTTAAAGGACTGGTCTAGCTGATATTGCAGTTTTCAAAATAGACATAATCCTATTTGTTTTAATACAAACTAAAATGTATTGAGTGTACTCTCTAAGTGCTTTGCAGGTACTTTGTCTTTTAAGCACTTTATGAGGTAGGGACTATTGTTATCCCCATTTTAGATGTAATTTTAGATAGAGTTTTAAAAAATAAAACTCACACCAAATGGAATATAAAACATTAATGCTCGTCATCCAAGTACCTTGTGAAAGTCAGGGTTGGGAGGAGGCCTGGAAAGAAATAGAAATCATGGTTGTAGGAGACAAGCGTGTGCAGAGGCAATGCATACCAATAGAGTCATAATTTCTGCTCTCAAGTTATTCCTTTCCAAACCGCTCATTATTAGCTTGTCTTGCTTGCTTAAGTCAGTTCTTTTTAAATAATCAGTGTTCATTCATTGTTTTCCTCTCATGATGTAACCTTATTTTGTGTAAACATATTTCCCCGTGGCCCTAGCAGTGGTAACAGGCCCTTTGCTACTACCAGGAGGATAGTAATATCCTTTGGTATTTCAAAGCATATTTCAATAGATTTCCTGCACCCTAAAAATAGTTTCATAAATAGCTCCTCTGTGGCCTGTAGGGAGACAACATTAAGGTTAGTGTTCCGTAGAAAGTCCCGCCACCCTCCCCCCAGGCTTCCTGACGTCAGGAGGAAAACCCTCAGGCCCTGCTCTGTTCTGCCCGACAACAACCAGAAGCCAATCATCGCAGCAGAAAAGCCCACCAAGCCCCGGCCTATCCTGAACCGACACATAACCCTCTGAGCTACCTCAGCAGTCTGCCCAGAGACGGACAGCCTATCCTAAGCTGCTACGACACTCCGCCAGCCCTGTGTCCATGCCCCGTCCACCCCCCTATAAAAACCCTCCTACCCCAGCTATGCAGTCGCAGCCAGCCCAGATCTCCTTCCTTTCCTGGCCTGCCCGCTGGTCCCAATAAACCTGAACTCAGCTTCCAACTCTCGAGCTGTTACTTGGGATCGGGTACAAGACAGGGGTCTACAAGGGGGTCGTACATTTGGTGCCGAAACCCGGGAGCGAGGGTCACTAGCCCCCCTAGCGACCCCCTCCCTCCAGCGACCTCTCCAGCCCTCCTCCAATTCGGCCTCAGCACTCCGGACCAGGTAAGTCCTGTTTCTTACCTTCTCCTTCCGTGGTGCGTGTGGCAAAGACCCTTCCTCTCAGTCCCACTCCACGGATCCCTCGCAAAGCGCCGGCCGGCCCAAGCAGGATCCCCCAACCAGGCTCCAGGAGCCTTGGGTCGGCAGACAAGGGACGCCTTCTCTGACCCACCCAATCCAAAACCATTAAATAGGAACGATCAGACAGGGGACGCCTTCTCTGGTCTTTCCTATCCACCTTCCTCTGGGAAAGCTGGTGGGTTGGAGGGACACCTCCCCCACACTACCCCAGCCCACTCGGATACTGTTCCGAGACCGCCCTCGGCTGGCAGGAACCCTTTGCCGCACACATCATGGGGAACGTGGAGTCCAAAATTTCTACAAACACCCCACTGGGCTGCCTGCTTCTTAATTTTACCCGCTTGGGCTACTCCCAAACCCTTAGGCGAAAGAAGCTTATTTTCCTCTCCCAGGTGGCCTGGCCCCCAGTACCAGCTCGATAACTGGTCACATTGGCCCCCCACCAGCACTTTCGATTTCAATGTGCTCCGCGACCTAGATAACTTCTGCCGCCGAACTGGCAAAGATAAGGAAGTGCCTTATGTTCAGGCTTTTTGGGACCTGCATTCCCATCCTGACCTCTGCTCTTCTTGCTCCACTCACCAAGTTCTTTTAGCCCGAACTCCTCCACCGCAGACTCCTACCTCCCCAACCAAGCCACCTCCCTATACTCTACAGGAAGAGATGCCTGACCATTTGTCTTCCCCCTTTTTTCCCACTCCGGAAGTCCCCGACCCATCTAACCCCCCTCCCTCTGTATCTCCTCCTGTTGTATCTCCTTCCTCCTCTCCTCCTAAGCCTTCTGCCACACCCCCCGACCGCTCCTCCTCTCATCTGCCTTCCGCCCTCCTCCCCCGTAGTGGCCCATACCCGTACCAAGACTTCAGTGCCTCCCTCTGTCATAGCACCCCTACGGGAAGTAGCCAGGGCAGAGGGCCTTGTCCGAGTCCATGTCCCTTTTTCTCTCCAAGACCTAGCTCAAATTGAACACTGCCTTGGGTCCTTCTCGGCAGACCCCTCCACCTACATTAAGGAGTTTCAGTATCTCACCCAGGCCTATAGTCTCACCTGGCACGATATCCGGGTCATCTGTACATCGACCCTCTCTGCCGAAGAGCACGAGTGCGTCCTAGCAGCAGCCAGGCATCAAGCAGATAGAGATCATGCCATAAACCCAAACCAAGTCCCAGTAGGTACAGAAGTTATTCCCACCACAGATCCCCAATGGGTATATCAGGATGGAGCTGGCTCCCACATTCCAGCCCAAGACTGCATGCTTCAGTACTTGTTGCGTGGGTTAGAAGCTGTATCCAACAAGGTCGTTAACTATGATAAACTAAGAGAAATTACACAGAAGCCAGATGAGAACCCTGCCCTTTTTCTCAACCGCCTTCAGAAAGCCCTTGTCCGCTATACCCGACTAGACCCAGCCTCCCAAAATGGTGCTACCGTCTTAGCTTCCCACTTCATTTCCCAATCCGCCCCTGACATTCGAAAAAAACTTAAAAAGGCCGAAGAAGGCCCAGAGACTCCTATACAAGATCTGGTTAAGATGGCCTTTAAAGTCTTTAATGCCAGGGAAGATGCAGCAGAGGTTGCCTGCCAAGCTCGATTGAAGCAAAAGGTTGCGCTGCAGACCCAAGCCCTGGTGGCAGCCCTATGGCCAGCAGGAAACAGGGGTCCGAATAGCCGCTCCAAGCCCCCACCAGGGGCGTGTTTTAAATGTGGCAAGGAAGGACATTGGGCCTCTAGTTGTCCTCAGCCATGGCCGCCCACCAGGCCCTGCCCCCTCTGTCAGCTCAGTGGCCACTGGAAATCAGAGTGCCCCCAGGGATCCAGGACCCCGGCCAATACAAGCCGAAGTAGTGGACCAAGGGGTGCCTCTCCGGGAGGGCCAACCCCTGATCCTCCGGCTCGGGAGTCTGGCTCTCCTGACCACCTATACCCTGAGTTACTGGGGCTTTTAGACGACTAGGGAGGCCCAGGCTCGTCGACCCCAGTAACCCTTGCCGAGCCTAGGGTGTCACTTCAGGTAGCGGGAAAAAGCGTCTCCTTTTTGTTGGATATGGGGGCTACCTACTCTGTACTTCCCTCCTTCCAAGGCCAGACCATACTTTCCCAGGTCTCTGTTATGAGAATCGATGGAGCCGCAACACCCCACGCCAAACTCCACCGCTCACCTGTATGTATAACTCAGTCCCATTCAGCCACTCTTTCCTCATTATCCCCTCTTGCCCTGTGCCTCTGTTGGGATGAGACATCCTAACAAAACTCAAAGCCCACATCACTTTCCCCACCTCTCCCCAACACCTCCTGTTAGTTGCTCACCACCTCAACTCCAATTCAGACTATGCTTCCCCAGACATTTTCCTCCCTAAAGTACACCCTAAGGTATGGGAAACGGACACACCTGTAGTAGCCACACACCACAAGCCAGTCAAGGTTTGCCTCCAGGAACACTCCTCCCGATTTCTTTGTCAACCTCAGTTTCCTATTTCCAAGAAACACCGCCTAGGACTTTGCCCTATCATTGAGAGGCTAAAAAGTCGCGGCCTCCTAGTACCCACAAATTCCCCATGTAACATTCCCATCCTCCCAGTCCGGAAACCCTCAGGAGAATACCACCTTGTCCAAGACCTCCGACTAATCAATGCTGCAGTAGTTCCTATACATCCTGTAGTCCCAAACCCGTACACCATACTCTCCAGAATTCCCTCCAATACTACCTTCTTCTCAGTCCTTGACCTCAAGGATGCCTTTTTCACCATTCCCTTACACCCAGATTCCTATTTCATCTTTGCCTTCACCTGGGAAGACCCACTTACTGACAACTCCTGTCAGCTCACCTGGACAGTTCTTCCCCAAGGTTTCAGGGATAGCCCTCACCTGTTCGGTCAGGCCCTGGCAACAGACCTTCTAGGCTGCCACCTAGCCCCATCTATTGTTCTTCAGTATGTTGATGACCTACTCGTCTGTTCCCCCAGCCAGGAAGAGTGCACCCGAGCCACTACTGTTCTGCTCAACTTTTTAGAAGACAAAGGGTATAGAGTTTCAAGAAAGAAGGCCCAACTCGTTACCTCATCAGTCATTTACTTGGGCCTACAGCTTTCCCCAGGAAAGAAATCCATTATCCCCGATTGACTGCAGGCCCTGAAAGCCCTCCAACCCCCGCAGTCTGCCACTGAAATACTCTCCTTTCTAGGGGTAGTGGTATTCTTCTGGCATTGGGTGCCCAACTTTGCCCTTCTGGCCAAGCCACTTTACCAAGCAGCCGCAGATACTCCTGAAGGCCCACTTACTTCACAGGGAACAGTGACTCGAGCCTTCCACATGCTCCTACAAGCACTATGCACTTCAACTTTTCTTGCTCTACCCAATCCCAATCTTCCTTTTCACTTGTATACGGATGAGAAAGACCACATCGCAGTAGGAGTCCTGGCTCAACCAGTCAGCAACACCCTCCTTCCTCTAGCATACCTTTCCAAACAACTCAGCCCCACAGAAAAGGGGTGGCCACCTTGCCTCCGAGCCTTAGCAGCAGCCGCCACACTTATGACAGAGGCCCTTAAGATCAACCTCCAGCAACCACTCACAGTATTCTCCCCTCACAAACTGCAGGAGCTTGTATCCTGTCAGGCCTTACCACACCTCGGGCCGTCCAAAGTCCAACTCCTGCACCTTCTATTCCTAGAGAACCCTGACATTTCTCTCTCTCACTGTCCTGCTCTTAACCCAGCCACCCTTTTCCCTTCTCCAATGGCTCCGGCACAAGATCACCGATGCCTCGAGGTTATCATTGAAACCCAATCCCCATGGCCCGACCTACACTCCACCCCCATCGAGGCTGAAACAACACTCTTCGTAGATGGGAGCTCCTTCCTACATCCAGGAAAACCCCGTATTGCTGGATATGCAATAGTGACCCATTCAGACGTCATCGAGACTCATTCCCTCCCCTTAGGAACCACCTCGCAACAGGCTGAGTTAGTCGCCCTCACCCAAGCTCTCAAGTGGGCCAGGGACAAAACTTTCAACATCTACACAGACTCAAAGTATGCTTTCCTTATTGCACACTCCCACTGTATGATCTGGAAAGAGAGAGGATTCTTGACCACCAAGGGCACCCCGGTAGTTAACGGAAAACTCATATCTGATCTCATCTCAGCCATCCAGCTTCCAAAGCAGGTTGCCATCATTCACTGTCTAGGACACCAAACCTCCAGGTCTCTAGTAGTCTTAGGTAATGCTTTTGCGGACAGGACAGCCAGGGAGACAGCACAAACCTGCCCACCCCCAAAAGAAATCTACTTCCTGTCACGCCACTACCAACCCCAGTATTCCCCCTCTGAGCTCGAACTTTTACAGCAAAACCCTGGAGTGACCTTCGGGGATGGATGGGCCTTCAATCACAACCTTCTTATACTTCCCCAAGCACAAAAAACTACCATGATAAAGGACATCCATGATTCCCTGCATATTGGGCCAAAACCCTGCTCCACTTCCTCCTACCCATATTACATCCAGAAGGGCTTCCCTCCCTCATTCATCAAGTCCATGCTCAATGTCTCATTTGTGCGAAGACCAACCCCCAAGGAGCCTGTCACCTCCGCCAACAGCTCCACCAGTTGCGTGGATCTTTACCAGGACAAGATTGGCAAATTGATTTTACTCACATGCCAAGACATAAACAGTTTTGGTTCCTGTGAACCATTGTCGATACTTTTTCAGGCTGGATTGAAGCTTTTCCCACCACTTCAGAGTCCGCCAACACCATTGCCGCCCATCTCATCCAGGACATCATCCCTCGGTTTGGGCTTCCAGCCACTATTCAGTCAGACAACGGCCCGGCCTTTGTCTCCAAAGTTACTAACGCTGTCTGTGCTTCCTTAGGAATTCAGTGGAAGCTGCATGTGGCCTACCACCCCCAGTCATCGGGTAAGGTAGAACGGGCTAACGGACTCATCAAGGATCAGCTTACCAAACTCTCTCTCGAGCTTAAGCAGTCATGGGTCTCTTTACTACCGTTAGCTCTTACCAGGCTGCGGGCCCGCCCCCGAGGAGCCTCACAGCTCAGTCCATTCGAGCTTCTATATGGGCGACCCTTCCTGTTATCCACTCTACCTTCTCCAGAAAGTTCCCCCCGAACACCTACCTTCCCTATTTTACCCTCCTCAGACATCTACTCAGGGAACACGCCAACGCTTCCATACCCCAGACCTCAGAAATTCCACCCGCTCTGGGAAAGGTTGCCCCCGGTGACTCTGTCTTCATTAAAACTCTCACTCCAAAACCCCTCTCACCCCGGTGGGAAGGGCCCTACACCGTCATTTTAGCCACCCCAATGGCCATCAAAGTTGCTCAGATTCCATCTTGGGTCCATCTCTCAAGAGTAAAAAAGTATCCCGATGGCCCTTCCAGTTCCCGTTGGGAGTGTGTTCCTACTGGTCCTCTATCACTTAAGCTCTTTAAGCCCTGAATTGTCCTTAGCTAACCCACAGTATGTCTGGAGATTTTTTCTCACTAAAAATTATACCAAAACTACTGGGATTTTCTCTACCCCTCCTTACTCCCATAACCACCTCCTGACCACGTCAGATTGCCCCATCACAGGATGTGTATTCCCCATCCAACTCAACTTCTCCACCCTTAACAACGTCCGCAGTACTCACCCATTGCTATGCTTTAACTATAAACAGACAGGTGCTTGTAAGACCTCCAGTTGGCACTCTTGTGTGGGATGTGTCTGGGGCTCCTGTCAGCATGAGCCCACAGCTAATGAATGGGAGCAGGGTGGCCGCTTCCCTTCCCTCCTTAAGAGGACCACAAAATTCGACTCAGAAGGCAATCCCAGCAAAGAGAGCCAGCTTACTCTAACCATCCCAGATCCCTGGGATGATAGATGGCAAGCACCCCAAAAGGCCTCAGTCTACGAGACCAGTACCACAAGTTATCCATCCTCACACTTATATATCTGGCGGGCGTATGTCCTCACCTCTCCAGAAATCCACAACACGATCCAAGTGCAAGAAACTACATTAAAAACTCAGCCCCTTTCTCATGGTTAACCCTCATGAGAGAAGGCCTAAAGCTCACCAACCAGACAGGGTTAACCAATCTGACCTCTTGCCTCCTGTGTGCTACTCTTGGACAAACTCCTCTAGTTGCAGTCCCAACCATGTTCCCTACACATCACACCAACGGGACAGGCCGACACCCCCCAATTCCAGACGTCCCACTCTTCTACCTCAACACTTCACCCTTTTCGGCCTGCTACTCTTCTCAGAGCTCAGACCCCACATGCAACAGGACTCAACAACTCACAACTAATCTAACAGCTCCCCGAGGTTTTTACTTTTGGTGCAACGGTACCCTTTCCAAACTACTAACCCAGTCCGACCTTAGAGGACATTCCCACTGTCTCCCTGTCACCTTGGTCCCATGCCTCACTGTCTATTCACTGGCTGAGTTCCTTATGATGCACACTAGCATGTCTTCTGCACACCCCAGCTCCCATCGTCAACGAAGAGCTGCCTTTCTTCCCATAGCTATCGGGCTCTCCCTCGCAGGATCCACAGCTGCTCTAGGCCTAGGAAGTGGGGCCCTGATTAACACTCACCAGGCCCTAGCCTGCCTTTCCTCACAGCTGCAAACTGCAATTGATGACTCTGCTGCCTCCGTAGCATCTCTCCAGCGACAAGTCACTTCGGTTGCTCAAGTAGCCTTACAAAACCGAAGAGCTCTGGACCTGCTTACGGCTGAACAAGGAGGGACCTGCATCTTCTTACAGGAAGAATGTTGTTACTACATCAATGAATCTGGGATAGTAGAAACCCGCATCGAAAATCTCCAGAAAATCAAGGCAGAGCTACAAAGTCACCAGTTCACCACTGAAGCCACCGCATGGTGGTCGTCATCCATGTACACCCTCCTATCCCCACTGATAGGGCCTCTGCTTATCATCTGTCTTTTCTTACTTGTCGCCCCTTGTTTCTTTCAGTTCTTGCAGCGCCATTTCCAGGAGCTCACCCGGATCACTATCAACCAGATGCTGCTACAACCAGTCCCCAGCCATCCAGATTGCGCGTATGCCCCCCTACCGACCTCCCAGCCTCCATAAAGACCCCACTCCCCCTGTCCAGCAGGAAGTAGCCAGATTGACTCCCCCGCCCCTTTCCCTTTTTTAAGGAGTCAGGAATGTTCGGTAGAAAGTCCCGCCACCCTCCCCCCAGGCTTCCTGCCGTCAGGAGGAAAACCCTCAGGCGCTGCTCTGTTCTGCCCGACAACAACCAGGAGCCAATCATCGCAGCAGAAAAGCCCGCCAAGCCTCGGCCTATCCTGAACCGACACATAACCCTCTGAGCTACCTCAGCAGTCTGCCCAGAGACGGACAGCCTATCCTAAGCTCCTATGACATTCCGCCAGCCCTGTGTCCACACCCCGTCCACCCCCCTATAAGAACCCTCCTACCCCAGCTACGCAGTCACAGCCAGCCCAGATCTCCTTCCTTTCCTGGCCTGCCCGCTGGTCCCAATAAACCTGAACTCGGCTTCCAACTCTCGAGCTGTTACTTGGGATCGGGTACCGGGCAGGGGTCTACAAGGGGGTCGCACAGTTAGGAAGAGGGACATCCCATTTCCTGAGCCTTTGGACACTCTTCAGCAGTGTGCCAGGGAAGTTCCAAATTTTACCTTATCCAACTACGGGTCGTATTGAGTCTAGGCCTTAAGTAACTCAGTACATTTATTATTCCTCTCCACGGTGTTCAAGCCAACCCGCTAAATCTTAAATACTGTGGCAAGAAATGTGTCCCATTGAGCCTTCTATTTTGTGCAACTTGCCGAATCGTTCTTGTGCTCTCCACATATGCACCACATGCTCCTGCAGAAATAGATTTGTGAGACTTTATCTTTCCTCAATGGCTATCTCCTCATATAGGCCTTTACGTCTCAGAAGAGGTGGTGCTGGGATGAACCTCTTTAATAATATGCAGCAGCAACGATGTCAGTGGTAGCTCTGAGGTACCTAAGCTTCAACTTTTGGGGCCAGTTATCCAGATGAAGTTACAGAAAGACTTTCATGCAGAGGAGGAATCAGTTTCTTCAAAAAGGGGAGGGAGGTCTGTCTCCAGTGGCAAGTGAGGTTTAGGGAAACTTTGAAAGTTGAAATTCTTGGCCTTATCCATACCTGCGAAAATTTCCTCATGTTCTAAAGTCCTATTTCTTCCTTTCCAGCGTGCTTACTTTAACATTAGAGATGTGGAGTGTGGAACATTTGACAATCTAATTCTGTATCTCTTAACCTCAGATTCAATCTGAAACTCCTAACTGCTGCAGGAGACAAGGGACTCCTCTAAACTTTCTATGGAGGTGCTTAATTGTACATCCATGACTCTTAATTTCTCTTTTCCTCATTTATATACTTTGATACCTTTCTATAAATGTTATAACATTCTATAAATGTTATAAATAATATTTCTAACATAACAGTGGCATAGTCACTTGTAATCACGATACATTGACCTGAATCTGTACTATATCCCATGCAACCAGTTGGTTATTTGATTAGTCATAAGTGTATTGCTTACAATGGATATCTTGTGTTCTATTTTTCCCCAGCTTGACCATTATCTCTGAGCTCCTTTAAAGCCCAATCCAAGAATTCTACTGGGAAGGTTTGTTTCCTGGGGAAAATTTCAATTCCAATTATTGTATCAAGTGAGTTAAATCACAAATCAGATGCATTCCATCAAATTAGGATAATTTGCGGGTTTAATGAAGTATGAGCAGAAAATAGAGAAACCACAGAAAATTATACAGCATACTGAGTTTAAAACCTATAGAATTCAAACACTCTAGATGCAAAAATGTTTAGGAAAAGAAACAGTATCCAAAACCTGAAAAAGAATTAACACAAAAGTGTTGTCCCAGGAGGCAGAGGTTACAGTGGCCGAGATCATGCCACTGCACTCCAGCCTGGGAGGCAGAGTGAGACTCCATCTCAGAAAACAAACAAAGGAAAAGGAAAAGGAAAAGGAAAAGGAAAGCTTATCCTCAGAGAAGACGTGAACTTCATTTAGTGAACACGTAAAGCTGGATATGACCACAGCAGGAATAGAAATAATAGAAATAATAAGTACCCTTAATTACTCTACTTCTTCCCTCTCTTTTCCCTCTGGGTCTTCCCACTGGCCAAACCAAAAGAAAAATGTAATTCCATTGTGTCTGTATACTAAATTAAAAAAAAATTGGCCATAAAAAAAGAATAGAATCATGCCATTTGAAGCAACATGGATGGAAATGGAGGTTATTATTTTAAATGAAATCGGCCAGGAACAGAAAGACAGGTATCACATGTTCTCACTCATATGTGGGAGCTAAAAAAACTGTTCACGGCTGGGCGTGGTGGCTCAAGCCTGTAATCCCAGCACTTTGGGAGGCCAAGGCAGGTGGATCACGAGGTCAAGAGATCGAGACCATACTGGTCAACATGGTGAAACCCCGTCTCTCCTAAAGGTGCAAAAAATTAGCTGGGCACGGTGGCGCATGCCTGTAATCCCAGCTATTGGGAGGCTGAGGCAGGAGAATTGGCTGAACCCAGGAGGAGGAGGTTGTGGTGAGCCGAGATTGCGCCATTACACTCCAGCCTGGGTAACAAGAGCGAAATTCCATCTAAAAAAAAAAAAATTGTTCACATGGATACAGAGTGGAAAAACAGAGAACAGAGACTGGGGAGGGTGGGTAAGGGTAAGTGGGAGGATGAAGGCAAGTTTCTCAATGAGGACAAACATACAGTTCAACAGAAGGAATACATTTAATGTTCGATAGCAGAGTAGGGCGACTATAGTTAACAAAATTGTTTTGTACTTGGGTGATGGACACCTTAAGTACTCTGACTTGATCACTATCCATTATATACATGTAGCAAGATTTCACATGCATCAAAAGTTTGTACAAATAAACACTGGAAATAGAGAGAAAAGGAAGATTAGGCACAGAACAAATTGGAAAATCTTGGCAAGCCAATCCGGAGGGGCAACGGGGTGATATCTCACAAATAATACATATAATAACCTTTCTTTCCTTAATATATCTGCTCGGTATCTAATGGGTTTTTCAAGCTTAGCATGTCTAAGCCTAAAATCTGCTTCTTCTGAGTTCTCCCTAAATCAGAAAAAAAAATCCTCATTGAATCATTTGTTCAGACAAGCAAACTCAGTGTCACCTTTAACCCTTCAAACTCTATCATATATTGTATTAGCAAACTATATTGAATATGCCATCTGAATGCAGGATTACAGGCTGACTCTGACAACTTCGTGCTTTCTTTGCTATGACTACTCTAACCAAAATGACCACTGAAATAACCTTCTTGCTATTGTTTCTGCTTTCAACCTTAAACACTTGTAGAATATTTTATAATTACTGTGATCCTTTAAAAATGGGCCATTTCATCATTCCCATGTTTAAAACCTTATGAAGACTTCCTATCATATTAAAAATATAATGCAACGTCTATATTATAGCTGATAAGGCTCCAAACTCTATAAAATGTAGACATCTTTATATCCATATTTTCTACATCTTTTTGTCTGAGGCATTCTGTTTTAGTCACCCTGACCTGCTTCAATTTTTTTGACCACTACTAAGCACATTCCTGCCACAGGGCCCTCGGCAATCCTCTACCTGGAATTCTTTCATTCCTCTTATCCAGAGGCTCTCTAAATTCATTTATATCTCTGCTGAAATATCACTTTCTCAGACAGCTCATCCCAGATCATCCTAAATAAAGTTATATGTACGTATATGTGTATGTGTATATACGTCAATAGTTCCGAAGATAGTATGATATTGACAAAGGATCTCAATAGCGATTCTCAAATGTTTATTGGTTTATTACAATGTAAATAATGTATAAATGATAGTTTTAGAAAAATAATTTAATTGAAACATATAAATATAAAACAGCCTTCTCTTACAGCAAATTTTAAAGTAATTAATGTAAGTGAAGGCGTGTATAGACTTTTAGGTATTGATATATAAAAAATAATTTTATAAAAATTATTTTACTTATATCCTAATGACTTTTTCCCTCATACTAACTCACCCCTAATCTGTGGGTAAAATTTCAGCAATTTTTGTTTCTTTGAAACTTTATTGGTAGCTGAAATTTTCACTGGAGCAGAGATAGAATTTCTTCAATGACATTAAATTATGTTCATTATTTTTCTTTGGCTAAATGTTTCCTATAACTTTTTTTTTTTTTTTTTTTTTTTTTTTTTTTTTTTTTTTTTTTTTTTTTGAGACGGAGTTTCGCTCTTGTTACCCAGGCTGGAGTGCAATGGCGGGATCTTGGCTCACCACAACCTCCGCCTCCTGGGTTCAGGCAATTCTCCTGCCTCAGCCTCCTGAGTAGCTGGGATTACAGGCATGTGCCACCGTGCCCAGCTAATTTTTTGTATTTTGAGTAGAGACGGGGTTTCACCATGTTGACCAGGATGGTCTCGATCTGTTGACCTCGTGATCCACCTGCCTTGGCCTCCCAAAGTGCTGGGATTACAGGCTTGAGCCAACGCGCCCGGCCTAATGTTTCCTATAACGTCTTAAAGTTGCGCTGTGGCTCATGCCTGTAATCCCAGCTACTCAGGAGGCTGAGGCAGGAGAATTGCCTGAACCCAGGAGGCGGAGGTTGTGGTGAGCCAAGATCCCGTCATTGCACTCCAGCATGGGTAACAAGAGCGAAACTCCGTTTCAAAAAAAAAAAAAAAATCTTAAAGTTATGTGAGACTATTAAAGAGAAAACCTTACCTTATGCTCTCAATGTTCCCATTTTCAGGTTTACAGTTTGTTTTGACATGCAGAAAATTAAACAAAGGAAATAGGATGAAATACAATAATAATTCTGCATATTGTTATTTACAATAGTAAATATTTTGATTTAACTTTCTAGATGTCTCAAAAATGTGTATACTCTCAATTACTATGAACTTTGATTCTATAAAAATTCTATCACAAAGTATGTTATACCTAGAGAATGTTTTCTGAGACTTAAAATGCATTTAAAATTAGCCAGGTGTGGTAGCTCATACCTGCAATCTTAGCATTTTGGGAGGCCGAGGTGGGTGGATCACCTGAAGTCAGGAGTTTGAGACTAGCCTGGTCAAAATGGTGAAACCCTTTCTCTACTAAAAATACAAAAATTAGCTGGGCTTGGTGGTGGGCACCTGTAATACCAGCTACTCAGGAGGCTCAGGCAGGAGAATTGCTTGAACCCAGGAGGCGGAGGTTACAGCGCAGATTGCGCCACTGCACTCCAGCCTGGGTGACAGAGCAAAATTCTATCAAAAATAAAATAAAATAAAAAAAGTAAAATAAAAATACATTTAAAATTTAGGAATCTTTCAGTTCAAGACTGCTTTAGAAATAAAGTATATTTTTCAAAACCTCTTTTTGAAGCGTTTGCATTGTTTCAAAATGAAGGGAGATGGTAAATTATATTAATCGAGATTTTTTTTTTAAACAGATGCTTCAATTGGTTTCATCGTAGTTGCAAACTTATTTTTCTTATGTAGTGATCATTAGAGAAAATAATGGCATTTTTCTCAGGGGAAAATTAATTTCCAAATTTAGAAACTAGGTGTCATTTAACATTTTACTAACATTGTTGCCATTTACAGGAATATGATAGTGGATGTTGAATTATATTTTACCTTGGAGGCAGCAAATGGAAACTAATCGTTTCAGATAAAAAGTTAGTGGAAGCTCTGCAGTTTCACAGATGACAAGTCTTCTTTCTCTTGCTCTAATTATGGAACAGCAAATAGCAAGTAGAACTGAGATTTTGCCTGAGTTGTGGTAGTGACTCAGCCTTGACTTGTGAATGTGAAATAGGCTTTCAGCTCAGAGACTTCTCTACATCACATTGCATGCTATCTCGTGCTCTGACTCACAATTTCTTTTTTGTAAGAGTGAATAAAGGAGGTTGTACTCACAGTTCCCATCATCTGTAATTTCAGAAGCCTTCATAGTATTTCCCTGGTTCCTTACCAGGGAAATATCAGGCCTTTATGTTATTTACAAAGAAAATAATAGAAATGTAGACAGGTGATTCCAGAAAGAGGTTGATTTAGCAAAAATATGCAGTGGCAGAAAATTCAAATAGAAAACAATGTTCTTACCTCTGTTTTTTTAGTGATTTGCAAACAATCTGGGAAATTTGAAAGACCTGTTA